TTATTATACTTCACGTAAAAATGCCATATTTTGATTGGCTAATACGAGGGTGTTAATTTACTCTATTACCCTTCACGGAGACGCTTGATCAAGTGTGCGCTTTATTAAATACGACTCTATCCTATGGCAAATACTCTATTACCCTTCATGGAGACGCTTGATCAAGTGTGCGCTTTATTAGATACGGATGGTTGTTATGTACAAGACGTCATAGTTTATTACTTTGAATTTGAAATTTAATCGAAAGTAATAACAGAACATTCAGTATAAGAAATTAAATAGCACATATCTGAGAGGGTGATAGAGCAGTTTGTTACCCCTCGAAAAGACATTGTCAACCTTGGCTTCGCCTCAGTTGACAATATTTTCTCGGGGTAACAATCTGCTCCATCACCCTTTATATAATGTCTGTGAATCATACTTTACGTACAAAAAAATGTGCATACATATTACATACTCCTGTTATTAAGAACTAAAATCTCTATTATGCTGGAACTGAACCAAGCTTTTTGAAAAAGCTGACTTTGGACCTATAAATTTATTGAAAAAAACATTGAATAATGTGTAGTCGTGGAATTCCGTTTCCATTTAAGTTAAAATTATGGTTAATATTATACTGGAGTGTAATATCCCGGTGTATCATGCAAATCGATTGGTTACCTTGACAGGGGATATGAGCCCATACCCCTGTGAACAAATTTAAAGAGGTTAACTTTTCTAATAAAAATCAAGGGCTCGTGAAAGTTCATGATCCGTGCAACAGTCCTAATGGATAAATAAAAGTCAAAAATAGATATACAAAATGCTATTCCAACTTATATGTGTATATATGTATGTACAAAATAATTTCATTTCTACTATATGTTTCACTCCTTCATATTTTGTAAATGAAAGATCTCCATGTTCCATAAAAATATAAGATAAATAAGTATTTGTAGGAAAAAATCGATAATCTTTATGTTAACAAAAACATTTTATTAATTTTTTTTTCTCGCAGATATTAAGACTGATTTTTAAATCAAATCTTTATAAGGTTTTTTTTTTCCACCTTCCGTTTAATTGTTAATTTTATTTTTTTTTTGTTGAAAGCTTTATTAAATATATTATGTTCCGACATTTGAGAGTTATCATTGTTATAACGCTACTGAATTCGAATGGAATCCATAATTTAATAACAAACATAATAATATCATTTCCGACATAGGAAAGATTGATTTCGATATAAACTAAGGGAAATATTTGTTAAATGTATAATATAGTTACATGATATATGTTATATATATAGCACGCCTTTTACGAATTAACGTGGATTAAATATGTTAATGAGTAAGGCGTGGCTATATATGATTTGTAACATTAATTGACTATGACACATGTCAAAGGTGAATGCTGACCAATAAAACTTTATTGCACTCAACAAATTCCTTAACAGTCAACCAAAGGAACGTCCCTGAGGGTTGTACGTTGTACATATATTGTAAGCCGGGCTCTAAAACGACGTCAGAAACCCGGTCAATCTTGCACACTTGGTTTTCTCGAAACGTCCAACGCCATAACAAACGCTAGTACGCGTTTATACAATCTACACAGCCTGACCGACGAAATACACCATCAGATAGTTTTTGGCTTATAAGGCAGCAGCTATTTTCAACCTTAAAACTCTCTTTTGTCCGATTTTGAAATGACACGTGATCGAAATGTCTGTCTTTTGGTAGTTGAAAATAAATTGGAAATAACACTTTATAATTGTATACGTCCAATGGCTAAGCGCTTTTCTAGATTAACCTTCATTACAAACGTAGAAGCCGAAAAATTTAAAATCAAAGATGTATAAATACCGAAAAAACGTGAAGAGCTATATGACCAGTGGACCAAAAATGGTAGCAAAATCCATCGAAAGTCTTGCGGAAGTTGAAACCTAAGTTTCATAATAATTTTTAAATGTATCAACGGAAATATAAGGAATTAAGCTTAAGGTATGTTATAAATTATGTCCGTACCAGATCACTGACTACTGAGGTGATGCTACTCTCGATACTTTTAGTCCAGCAACAGCAGTATCGACCCAGTACTTGAAAATGAAAATAACACTTAAATTGTATGCGTCAGAAGAGCTTTTCTGGATTTACCTTTATCAGGAACGCTCAATGCCAAAGTGGAGGGAGGGAAGGGGCGGAGGGGGAGAAGGATGTTGAAAATTAATAACTTGTCCTAGAAGAACTGAAAATAAATAATTTTACGCAAGACAGGACGAAAATAATTATTCTGCAACGTAAAATGCAGGATATAAACGTATTCAAAGGTGAAATAAGCATGCCTAGCAACAGATGAAAATACATGATCAATCCAGAAAAAGCCGTCATCACCCACTCCTGGTCCACCCCCTTTGCCCCTTTTCACACCCCACCCCCAGAAAATGAAATAATCGTCCCTTCAAGTAGCAAAACAAAATTGTTGCGGGTTTAAGCATCAAAGTTGGATAATACAATGTGTTTAATAAAATGCCTTTATGTTCTTAATCATTAAACATAATTAACCGAAAAATAACAATAAGCCTAATATATAAAACGAATGTATGGGAAGAGTTCACCAGGTGTGCAGCTAACCTTATTTAAGTGTTCTCATAAAATATTTTACCTAAAGAAAGAACATTTTGAACACATATCATCACACAGTGGAAGCAACACCGTTGAAATACAAATGTATCTACAAATACAAACTAGAAAATAGCCACCATACAAATGATTGCAAAAAAAGTTTATTTTCCAAACTTCGAATTGCAATAAAATATCATAGAAATATTTTTCCACTTTTGAATCGTGCAACATAAGTTGCTACTTTCAAGGTCCAATTCGGACCAATGGTAAATATTTGTTAAAAGACGCGAACACTCGAATGAATACATGTATGGGAATACGGTAAACATAAGGACGTGTATTTTGATAACAGGAATAAATACACATAGATGCAACCAAGCTTCCAAAACGGTGTTTTTATTTATGAAAGAATTTAGGAGATTTAATTTAATTTTTGAAAGGGTAATTCTGACGTAATAATATAGCAGTTATTACTTCGCATCATTACGGTTCAAAGCTATTATTTTCATTCGATATTCACGGCATCTTGAAATTATTACGTAACAAATATCGGTTCGAATAGGTTGCCTCATGATGTGGTTTAGGATCTATTGGATAGAATGAAATATATAGAATTGGGAACATGTCCCGGATTGGAGAACATATTAAATACGGAATATGATTACAGTATGGGTATACTGAAGTCATGTTGACGTTATTTATGATACTGCGAAACACTTCATACCTTTTTAGAAACTGGCGTAACTAACTTGTTCATGGATTACGTTCATTGATATCGAAGACGTCACTACAGACACGGTCATGTCGGACTGTAAAAAGGGGTCAAAGGAACTTCGCTGCCCTCTACTTTGTCTTATATGTCATTAACCAATATATGCGTCCCTCTGTCTGTATCACTCTGCTCAGCTCTTAATAAAATTGCATATCACGGCTTTGTGACGTCAAATACGTTAACCCGGCCTTAATAAATTTGACCCGGACATATCACCGACGTCATAATATATGAACCGACGTTGATAAGTTTGACCGGAACTTATCACGCCATCTTCCGGTTTGCTGGTGAAACAAAGAAAACAATTTGTTTCTTACATGCAACTTACGCAAATACAACCCGATAAATCGATTATCTGGTTGTATGCATATTCATATTGTAAAATATCAGCTGCTCGACACAATATGAAGCCTTTTTAATCTCGTTCGCTGCGCTCACTCGACAAAAAGCTTCATATTGTGACTCGCAGCTGATATTTTACGATATCAATATGCAGACAACCTGATAATCGGTACTTTGTGAATATAGTTCTGTTATCAACACCTTAAATATATATTCCCTATATAAATTTGTAACATGTGTTTCAGTTATAAAAGGCAAATATTATATCAGTTCAAGTGGTATATGAATTAGTACAGATTATCGGGTTTTCTCAGAATGATATCGTAAAATATAATATCAACCGCGAGCCATACTGTGAACCTTTTTGGCGAGTGAGCGCATCGAACTACCAAAATAGCTTCATATCGTGTCGAGCGGCTGATATTTTACGATATCTGTACGTAGAAAACCCAATAATCTGTTTATCGTTCTATTACTGGTCTTTTCCCCTCCCTTAGATAGTACTACGCTTGACGAAAGCAAGCTTGATAACGTCTTGTGACATCGCTAAAAACTTCTCCTCGGACATTAAGACGTCGCTGATTATGCCTTCTCACGTCTCAAAACCGTGATTCAAGAATTACGGAGATAATGAGCAGGGTGATATAGGAAAAATCGTTCAATAATGATAATAATAATGATAACAAATCTTTCTTGTCATATAAGTAAACATAATTAAAAAACTCAAAGTACTAATCATTAGGAAATTTGCAGTCATATTAAGATCAATTATAATTAAGAAAAGAGTAGATTTACTTGTGTTTATTATTAGAGGATAATTGTCTCTTTTCCCTTTTATTAGTATGATCTATTTAACAAAGTTGAAAGTAGGAAAATTCTGGTCTAGATATGTGACAATCATATGATACTGTTAGTGATAATTTAACCTTGTCTGAAGGTTGTCCTTGAACACTTTTTTATCATTTTACAAACACGTATTACATCTTTGTTTTTTATACTTTGCATTATGATAACACCTGATCCCAATACAAATGGCTTTTTATACTCATTGCATCAGTAACAAATGGATCCAAATTGCATTTCATTATGAAAAGTATCACATGTAAGTGTTTATAGTATCCTTGCATCTTGTGTTTCAATTAAAACGTCAACATATGTTATTTCTTTTTGACAAAATATATGTTACATTTGTAAGATGTCACTCATTACCCTTTTCGTTATCAAATATGTTGGTGCCGTTATGTTAATTAAATGTAAACATGTTTTAATGAAAATCGATTATGTTTTAGAATGTTTTTGAATACGTCGTATACGGATGAAGATGCAAACATGTATTTTTCTCAATGGAAAAAGTTTATTTTTGACTGATCGTGAAAGATGAAGTGAACGGGAATGAAGGCAAGACGAACACTACATACATGTACAATTCTTTATAACGCTGCTTCAGGAGTGTTCAATTATTAGTCTTTTTGACGTATTATTGATTGGAAGTGATTTCAAAACATTCATAAGATTTTAATGTCAATATATGTCAAAAACAAAAGTTTGATTTCCTATATGGAAATCTAGACCTTAAAGACGTTGTTTATCCATTAATAAGAATGTTACAACAGCATGTCTTCCAGGAATGTTCATTCTTTCCTCCAGATGACCGCTCAGTTTGCAAAAATGATACAAAATCATTAAGAGATCCTATGGAATATGAAGGCACAAGATTGTCAACTTTTGCAACATTTCCAAATATTCTTGGTGTTTATGCAACCAAACTTGCAGGAGTTGGTTTCTATTATTTAGAAAAAGACGATGAGGTTATTTGCTTTAAATGCAAAATAATACATAAAAATTGGAAACCGTACGATTCTCCAATAAATATTCACCAACACATTTCTCCGCTTTGTGATTTTATCAAACATATCGGCTCTAAATACATGGAACATTCACAACATATATCAGAAGGTACAGTAAGTAATGGTACATGTGATATTTCTTACGTAGGAACTGAATGTAACAAGATATTGCACGACAAAAATAAACTGCCGGTTAATGGTAACGATCCTCGACAGAGCTTAAATATGCATAATGGTGGAACAGAGACTCAAAGAATTCAGACAAACACAATTAATCAAAATTCAAACAATTTCAGATGGAATGTTTCAAATACTTATGGTGGACGTGTACAAACTAATCCTGTTGGAATAAACCAAAGTCTTAACAACACCACAGACAATGTGTCTAATACCGATATAACCAGGACAGAATCTAACCAAATACCAAATGATTACTCGACTAATGATGTTAACAGCTTGAATCATATTCCACAAACTGGTTTAGAGACTTCAAATAGAAATGCAAGCACACCAAACCACCAATCCTCAGGTCAAATAACTACCACAGATATAACTAGCAAAGCCCCAGTGGAACAATTGATGATGGGGATTTGCGTTGAAAACCCAAAGTATCCAAAATGCGCCATCCGAGTATCTAGACTGGACTCGTTTAAATATTGGCCAACGTATTTGACACAGTCGCCAGACGAAATGGCAACCGCTGGATTCTTTTTTACAGGTATAGAACTCTTTATTTATTAAAGAAAATAAAGTAAAGTTTTCAAGTTTGACTTATATCAAAGTTAATAAAAAAAAAACACAGTAAGATATGTCGCATCTTATTATGTTAGACAATGTTAAATTTGTTCTTAATTGACAGCTAGAATATTTTAAATCGGAGCTACAAATCGTATTGATAAAATTGATGGATCGCTTGCGATGAACCGCGAAAAAGTCGCGCAATTGAAAATTGAAAAATTAATGCAATATAATGCATATGATAAAAAAAATCAAGATTTCTAGTAAGTTAAAAATTTCATATCATTATAATTACATTACTTGTATGTTTCATTATAATACAGTATTTTGATTGGCTAACAGCAATCTCGCGTCATTCTGAAATTAACCTTCTTTTCAAAATGAAATGTAACATCCATGATGACACGAGCTTCCACAATAAAGTGTAATAAAAGAAGAACTTGATAGAAATCGTGTTTTCATGATCCTAGCAAAAAAATGTAAATATAAGTATTAAATGCCTCTTTTAGTAATTTTATAGGGTTGAAAAAGCGTTGACCGTGCGCACATTTTTAGAATGTAGCGCTTTCGCGCTTCTTACAAAATGTTCTTCGATCAACGCTTTTACACCCCAATAAATTTACAAAAAGAAGCATTCAATTCTTAAGACAATATTATATTAAAGGTAGTGAAGATCATTGTCGCTGCTTTTTCTGTGGAGGAGGATTAAAAAACTGGGAACCAGGTGATGATCCTTGGGTAGAACATGCTCGCTGGTACCAGAACTGTGCTTTTGTGCGACAAAGTAAAGGCGATAGATTTATAGAAGATGTTCAAACAAACAAATATATTCCGGCCGAAATTGTGGAAAAGGTAAATTAAAAAACATAATGTTTATACAAACGCTAATAAGTAAATTAAGCAACACTTTTAAAGTCTTAATTATTTTGTGTATACACCAACGGTGACTGGGGAACAGAAATATCGTCAATTGTGGTCTTTTCCCAACCGACAGTAACACACTTCCAAACAGGAGCGTCCGTTTGGCTGTGCGGGGTGTATAATTAGGCAGCCACGTTCGGTTAGAATTGGGACGTAAAACCCGATGCCTTATGTAGAAAACCGCTCTCTGCACGTTGTGAACCCTCGCAACAACTTTATGAAAGGTCCGTCGTAGGTACATTTTGTAGCCTGTTGCATGGCAAAATTTCTGTCTCTATCCAATATACCCTTATTTTCCAGTGGCAGTCCAAATTGATGTCCTTCATCCCGGACGACCTCTATTACAAGACCTACCTATTGTATTTATTGTTAACTACTTTTTCTCGTCCTGAACATCCATGAAGTATTTGCCACTGAACGTAAAGAAAACTGCAACCAATCATACTACATTGTATGTCTGCAAATCAAAATTACAGGATGAGGTGCGTTTTAGTTGTACGTGTAACTTTATTTAAACCGTAACAGGTTATGCAAAACACAAACAAATAAAACATGCAGTACATTAATTACAACTATACACGGGGGTACAAACAGCACGTTAATCAAGTGTAAGCAAGTCAAGTTAATAATTATGTATTGTGATATTTGACCATTGTGGACCTCATTTATTTGTAACATTACAGAATAAGCTTCCTAGTTCAGAAAGGCCATTGTGTGATTTTAAGAACAATCCTGCAGTTAGATCTGTAACAGAGTTTGGTTATGATGAAAAGTTAGTCAAAGAAGCTTACGAAACTCTTCAAAAAGCGGGAAAATCAGGTATGTATCAAAAGTGACGGAAAATTTAGAGAGGATAGTTACACTAACATGGTCAATTCATATTGTTCCGGTTTTGTTATTATCAGAAAATAGATTAAAATGTAGGAATAAAGAAATATTTGTATTTTTCTCACTGCTAATTTCTTCTAAATACTACCTATATGTTCATGACGTCACAAAAAAGTACTCGGCTACCTGGCCAGTGAGCCTTCCTCATGGATTTACGGTCTTAGAGCAGAGAATGGATTCATAATAATCAAATCAATACGAACCAGTTTTGTTATCAATGTCAATGTTTTCTTTAATACTTTTTTTTAATTTCATTCATGATTCTGAAGTACAGTTCTAAACTTAAAGGTAAAATGTTCTAGTGTTACAAAGTCTAAAAATCACTGAAAAACGGTGAAAACGCGCATCTCGTACGCATCTTAATATGGTCAAAGTTTAAGATGTTGAGCTTTGTATTGTTATAGATTATAGTGATTTAATTATTTGTCATCTGGATTAAAGTAAGTGTTTGCAAAACAACTTCAAAATTTATAAATAGACAAACGGTGTGACTCTTGAAAAAGTATATAAATAACTCACTAAAGAGTGCCATCCTATTTTATTTTTAGTTTTTGGCAAAATTTTCTACAATATACACCAAAACGTTGAGATACGTTGAAAATATGGTAAGGCTACTCCAAATTGATTCATAGTTCTTCAAATTTGCTGTCTCCAAAGTTTTGAAAACCTTAAAAAAAAAATCTGCCATTCCCTGATAACTTTCTGAATTATTGCTCCATTTAATGTTATCACTCGCCCCACAATCCACAGAAAATTGCAATCTTTTTGTGTTCCAGTACCGCTTGCTAAAATATTCATTTAGGAAAAAAAGACACAAATACAAATTTCGCTCGCTCGCTCCAAATTTTGTACATAAAAGTCCAATGAACAAGTATTCAATTTGGAGAGGCCTTAACAATGGGATACGAACATTGAAATTACTCGTTATCCTTTTGACTCTGAAACAGCTCACTCCCCCCTCTTTATATTTTATTTACAGACATCTAAATCGAATATATAATACATAATTATATCTTTTAATTTCTATCTTTATCGTTTCTATGCATTATATGTCAATAAGTTTTTGACCAAAAGCTGCACAGACCCATCCGGGTCCTATGGTGGATCTGTGTCACGTATATTTAGATTAAGAGATTATAATATTAATTGTGTAAAGAATAATGAATATAATTACAGTCTCAAATCTAAATTTTAACGACCTGTTTTGTAGATATTACGAGTACCGGGCTTCTTGAAGCAATTTTCAGTTTAGAGGAAAATTCGAAACATACCCAAGAAAATTCAAATTATAACCAACAGCCAATGAAAAACTCGCAATCAACAATAGAACCTGCAAAAAGTATAGCAGAGCAAATTACACACGAAACAACGAGCGATCGAGAGCCAGAATGTATGTATTTTCACTTCAAATCGTAGTTACTTTTAGTGGACATATTCCTATGAAAACATAAGAAGATGTGGTAGGATTGCAAATAAGACAACTTTCCATCAGAAACCAATTGACGAAAAATGTTAGCAAGTATAGGTCACCGTACGGCCTTCAACAATGAACAAATCCCATACCGCATAGCAAGCCCCGAGATGACAAATGTAATACAATTCAAACGAGAAAACTAACGTCCTGATTTTTATATAAAAAAAGCCGAAAAACAAATATCCATAAAATTGAGAATTGAAATGGGGAACGTGTCAAAGAGACAACAACCCGACCATAGAGCAGACAACAGCCGAAGGCCACCAATGGGTCTTCAATGCAGCGAGAAACTCCCGCACCCGGAGGCGTCCTTGAGCTGGCCCCTAAACAAATATGTATACTAGTTCAATGATAATGGACGTCATATTAAACTCCAAATTATACACAAGAAACTAAAATTAAAAATGATACAAGACTAACAAAGGCCAGAGGCTCCTGACTTGGGACAGGCGCAAAAATGCGACGGGGTTAAACATGTTTTTTGAGGCCTCAACCCTCCCCCTATACCTCTAGCCAATGTAGAAAAAACAAACGCACAACAGTACGCACAGTAAAACTCAGTTCAAGAGAAGTCCGAGTCCGATGTCAGAATAGGAAACAAAAGAAAATAAACAAAATGACAATGATACATAAATAACAACAGACTACTAGCAGTTACTGACATGCCAGCTCCAGACCTCAATTAAACTGATTGAAAGATTATGTCTTCATCATATGAATATCAGGCACAATTCCTCCTGTTAGGGGTTTAGTATTATACCATCATAAAATATATGATACATCATACATGTAAGTATACTGTATGGATAGTTTTGACCCTTTTCAGTCATTGATGATCGCATGTTTACTAGCTCTAGAATTTGGGTGGTTTTATTATGTGATGTAGGCTTGTTGTATAATTGTTCTTTACACCTCGTCAACTTAAATTCTTATAAATGTTGTGTACGGAATCTGCAGTAGAACCAATTTAAAAAGTAGGATATTACAGTTTTATATTTCAATGGTGTTAATATGTCTTTTGATTGAGTTAAGCTATTTCAGTTGAAATTTTATAGTGTGCCTTTCTATGTTGTGATGTTACACTATTGTTTCAGAAAAAGGGTGAAGGTTTGGTACCATTAAAACGTTTAAACCCGCTGCATTTGTTTGCACCTGTCCTAAGTCAGGAATCTGATGTTCAGTAGTTGTCGTTTGTTGATGTGGTTCATAAGTGTTTCTCGTTTCTCGTTTTTTATATAGATTAGACCGTTGGTTTTCCCGTTTGAATGGTTTTACACTGGTAATTTTTGGGGCCCTTTATAGACAACTGTTCGGTGTGAGCCAAGGCTCCGTGTTGAAGACCGTACTGTAACCTATAATGGTTTACTTTTATAAATTTTGACTTGGATGGAGAGTTGTCTCATTGGCACTCATACCACATCTTCTTATATCTATTGAACTCTTATCTCGAACATTAAAACACGACTTGTTTTATACTAACTCGGAGTATTTTCGAATATAAATTCTAACTTCACCTCGAACTTTAATTCAAACTTATGAGTTGCTTCAATAAACTGAATGTATAATATTTTACATTGAATTTTGTTTTTTTTTAAGTGTCAGTGAGAAGTCTTGAAGAAGAAAATCAAAACCTGAAAGATCAGCAGACTTGTAAAATATGCTTGGATGAACCGATTGCAATAGTTTTTCTTCCTTGTGGTCATTTAGCTGCTTGTGGTAGCTGTGAGCCTGCTCTAAGAAGATGTCCAATATGTAGAGCATTTATCAAAGGAACAGTAAAAGCCATAATGTGCTGATGTCTTTAGTTTTTATACAATTGATCAAAATTAATAAAACAAATCAGTTTTATATATAAGCAAGATCACGACGAAAACAAAAGATCAGATCTGTGAGCTCGAGTTCTTCGTGACGCTTACAGAAGACATATGATATAAAAAAAGATGATGTGGTATGATTGCAAATGAAACAACTCTTCACAAGAGACCAAATGACACAGAAATTAACAACTATAGGTCACCGTACGGCCTTCAACAATGAGCAAAGCCCTTACCGCATAGTCAACTATAAAAGGCCCCGAAATGACACAAACGAGAAAACTAACGGCCTAATTTATGTTCAAAAAAATTAACGAAAAACAAATATGTAACACAGCAACAAACGACAACCACTTGATCACTGGCTCCTGACTTTGGACAGGCACATTCATACAGAATGTGAAGAATGTGCACGTGGCGGGGTTAAACATGTTAGCGGGATCCCAACCCTCCCCCTAACTTGGGACAGTGATGTAACAGTACAACATAAGAACGAACAATATTAATGGCGTAATAATATTTGTTGTTTTGTTGTTGTTTATAATTATGGTTTTTGATAAAATTATTTTATAATATAAAATAATTACACAAGTTAATCATCCATCCTAATGCATTTAACTTATTATAAACAAAGTGCTCGAAATGGATTTCATGAACTTTAAAATCACGATTGTTGCTAAGATTTGCAAAACAAAACATAATACAATTTAAACATTTCCAAATATGAATAAAATGTAAGAAACAAAGATCGTCTTGGACAGTAAGTACATAGTGATGATTTCTCCATAGACAACGACTTCAATAGATACATGTGACCTAAATATCCCTTTGGTGGGAATTTTCATATGGCTTTTCAGTTAAGCGTGTTAATTTCAAATAAAGAATGTTTACAGACAACAGAGTAAATATTGAAAACACGTGTTGAATTATGCATAACCTCTTTTGTACACTTCAATATAAAATCAAGCCACACGGAACCATGTGTGTCTATACATTCTAATAATCGTTATCATTGTGGTTGTCGTTCGTCGTTACCACCGTTATCGTTGCTATCATAAGGAACATCGACAATTACCCGGTATAAATGATCATTGACATCTTTCTAGAAGTATTTCAATCGCAGTGATCATTTCGTGTGTTGCTATGTAGTTACTTTCCCGTTTGAAAAAAGTAAACACACTGAAAACGAATTTAGGAAGCTATATTAATTGATTGATAAAGGGCGTATAGAGCAGCAGTCGAGGCAACACGTAATGTCGATTAGGAAATTTTAACTGCGGTAAAGAAAATTATAAGTGCGATAAAAAAAATATTACCGATTCTCTAAAAATATGTATACTTGAAAGCAGAAACCGAAAAAATTTCAACATTTAAGGAAGGAAGCTGAATACATAAACATTGAATACTAGTATGTAATCTTAGTTATATAAAAAACTTGAAGAAGCGGACATATTTTCCTATCTAGTACATTTGAATTTTTACCAGTTACATGTATTAAACAGGACATAAATACATATAGGGCTAATACTTCCTATGCAATTTAACCAAATTGAGATTTCAGTTTGTTTTAGTACTTTAGCGACCACGTTATATTGTTTTTTTTTTTCTTTTTTAAGCGTTTTTAAAAGACAGTCTGACGTAAGTTGAGAAAATAATGAATTTTTAACATAAGTTTATTTTTCTTTTTTGCCGCAAAATAACAATGCCTGAAGTTACAAAACAGGAAAAACGACGTAAAAAAATTGGGCTTAAACTTCCTATTACTATCATTGTTATTTTGATAATTTATTCAAGAGCTTATCTATAAGATTACGAAGGCGAGGCGATCAACATAACGGCAAACCCAGTTCTCGATACATTTATTAGTTATGTTATCGTTAAAGCAATCAAGGAACAGTATATTAAGAAAAAATTGTCAAAATCGTCTTGACATTCATTTTACACGAGGAAGAACATATTAAGATTTGATACTGATAAGATTTATAAAATACTTTTCTTAATTCTCTAAGGGTAGCGTCAGCACAGTTGTCTTGATGCTCTAGAGTCCTCGCTTCGAGTGTGAAAAGTCATCAGATCAGTTCATGACTGGGTTATACCCAGGGTTTAAATGTCAGTATGAAAATTTGAATTGATGCTCCGTAAGCAATCACGCCTTGAATAAAACAAGCCTGTCGGACAGAAGTCGAAAAAATGTTTCCAGTGTTGATGACGTGGCTATAGTATATTGCCACCTAGAAATTTGAAGCTTGGAATATATTAGTTTTTTAGTGGAAGTCAGTCTGTATCTTAAAGACTTCTGTTGTAAATCCCAAAGATAGGTGATTCTTATTATGTCGGCTGACTTCTGATAGATTTTGTAATCTGATAAAAAAAAAATAATTCAATAAAAGTTAACAATAAAAAAGAATAAAAGTGTAATTGAAATTTCAATCCAGCTTTAAATGTTGATAAAATATGTCCAAACACGTTGTAATTTTATTTTAACAGAATCAATGTTCATATACGGTCATACCGTTAGTTTTAACATCAATTGAATGGTGCTGTTTGCTTAAAGTCCGGTGGCAAATATGTCATACATACTCACGACGCGTAAATCCCAAAGATAGGTTATTGTCATTATGTCGGCTGAGACAATGCGCGGGAAATTAGTACAGCAACAAGAAAAGAGGGGTGTGTTGGATGCAGTAAAGATATAATGATTTTTTTCAAACGTCCCAGTTTGAGTTTAAATCATGGAAAACTGTTAATTCTAATAAACAACGGGAACAACGAAAAAGTTTTCGTACAAAACATAAGTTAATCAATGCAAACTTCTTTTCAAATATTTATTCTGAATTAAAATGTAAACGTCTTATGCTAACTTTAATGATGACACGTTGAAAGTACAGATCACTGAATGAAAAAGAAGGACACTGACACAATTTATCAAAATACAAAATATATTGTTCAATTATATAAGGTCCAATGTTCTGGTTGAAACACAATTCGTTGGACTTGTGAGTTCTATTGGACTTCTAAAATGTAGATTTTTAAATTTGTGTACATAACTTATAATACATATTGCCCTTTACTCCAAAATATAAAGTAATAACAATTTGAAAGTCAACAACTTTTTTCTAAGGAGCGTTTAAACTTCAACCTAAACTATAATGTATGTTTTGAATTTCAGCTGAAATTTATGCAAATAACCTTTGACCTCCAATTGGTGACGAGCGCCTTAAAATGAAATGCACAATAATTTAATATTCGAACATGATGTGATCTGCATTTATTTATGTTGACACCGTGGACAGCACTAAAAGCTCAAATATGTGAATCGTCAAGCATGTTGCCTGTCTCTCAGTGGATATAAGCAAATAGATATAATTTATATCAAAACCAAAACATCACTAGGATAAAAACAAAAATCCACAGCAGGTGCACAACTTTTTTTCATGCCCTGTACTAGAAACTGCAAGGTTTTTTTTATTTTGTAAATTCCATTTCAAAAGAAGTAAGATATAAGAAAATGGCACTGTATACATAAAAAAGCCTAATTGCTACGAGTCTAGTCTGGAATTTTTCGAAAGTTAAATGAGTTTCTATTTAATCTTTAAAAGGTAGTCAATATATACTTTGTAAGCAAGAGTTGTCATAATTGTAGACATTAACGATTGACGTACTTATTTGGTTTACATTGATTTCGTTTATGCTAGTTACATGTAACAAGGTTATAGTTTTATCACAATTGTAGTGGAAATAAATATTACGCAAGTCCTCACTAAAAGGAAAAAAAGACCATACATAATTAATTCAAGCATACTGAACGATAGTACTTTGGTGCACATTCTATATCTATCAAATGGTGAACAATTCAGGAATATTTTGCGGTATATTGATAATTTATACTGAAAATGGAGGACTTCGGGTGTCTATATGGAAATTTTCATTCGTATGCGTCATTATATAGCTCACAATGACGTAAACTAAAACTAACTTATTATTTATGTTTACAAAGACTTTGTATCACTCGTTGAACATAATGAGGGGTTTATGAGACAAAAGGCCTATCTATCGATACGGATATCGATTGCTTCTAAATCAAATGCATTAAAGAAAAATTGGATTCGGCTTTAGCTTTTAAATATTTAATTTTAACGTTGAATCATGAAACTTTTGTGTGATGCATTTATATTTTTGTCTAATGACTGGGCTATTTACTAAGTGGAAAAGATTTAAAGTAAGGTTGGATAGGGGTATTCATTTCTGTATTCTTTCTTGTTATGCCCGTTATTCTCTATTCTTTATATTTAAGTACCCAATTATTCACTATTCTTTATTTTTTAGTTTATTTTTTCTCTTTTCTTTATTTTTTTATTTTTTTTTTTTTACTCTTTAATCTGTACATTTAAGAAAAACAAAGTATTTGGGGTATCCATCCATGACACAAAATCGGTAAATGCACAACAAAAAAAAAACATACAAAAGGCAAAGGAACAGCGCTTTCATTGCTGTTCTTCATCTCAAAATCACAGTGAGAACTCAACATGGAGCAAAAAAACTCTCACCTCACTGCAAGTTTAAGACGGCGCCTAGCACCGGCTTAAGCGGAATTCTTTGCAAAAATAATTTGGATAGACTTTGTTAGATGTAACACCACCCAATCGGGCCCGGTCGAAAAAGAACATACTGGAAAGTAGTACATATTTAAAACAAAATAGTTCCTACGCACAGGTGTACATTTTAAACTATGTAGCATATATTTGAGTAATTAAGGTATCAGATGAAAAGTAAAGGACTAGTAGTCCTTGTAGAGCATACAATTTACTGATAATTTTGAATAATACAAAAATGTATGATTGAATTCTAAAATTGAGGGCATATATAGCCTGTTTCTCAGATATGAAGTGCCTGGTTTGGTGTTTCCTAAATTTCGGTAACCAGTGCAGTACGGTCTGATGTATAAATACAGGTATATTGATCCCGCTTCAAGTGAAAAATTTAACGTGGATAGGAATGAGGGCCAAGAATAGGTGGTGTGCGTCTTATTAAAATTTTAGTAAATAAACTGTCCTAATTATTCTCTATTCTGTAGACCCCATCCAGACCCTCATGAATATTACGATACAAGTTTATTATATAGACATGACAATATCCCGTAGAAATAAAGTTCGACGGTTGTTGTTCGTTGATGTTGGTTGCTGCCTGTCATACTTGTTATGTGTTTGTTGCTGGTTACCACCTGCCATACATGTTATTCGATAGTTGTTATTTGCTGTCTTTCGTTTGTTATTGGTTGTTGTATTTCAGTAACCGGTTGTTATTGGTTTCCGTCTGCCATACATGTTATTCGATAGTTGTTATTGGTTGTTGTATTTCGGTAACCGGTTGTTATTGGTTTCCGTCTGCCATGCTTGTATTTCGATTGTTGTTGGTTGTCGCCTGCCATTCTTGTTATTCGGTTGTTGTTGGTTGCTGTCTGCCATTCTTGTTATTCGTTTGTTGTTGGTTGTCGTCTGCCATACTTGTTATTCGATTGTTGTTGATTGTTGTCCGCCATTTTTGTTATTCGATTGTTGTTGATTGCTGTCTTCCATTACATTTGTTATTCGATTTGACGTTATTTTTTTCTGCCATATTTTTTATTCGATTGTTGTTGATTGCTGTCTGCTTTACTTGTTTTTTGTCCGTGTCTACCTGTTTAATTCACGTTGTTTGTTTTTTATACAAATATCGTTCACTTTTGTAACTCCGTTGACTTTTATAGCTTGTTATAAGGTATAGGTTTTGCTCATCGTTGAAGGCCGTACGATGATATGTAGATGTATAAACATTATATTATGATCTTTGATGAATAGTTGTCTAATTGGCAGACAAATTACATCTCCGACTTTTTTATATTCAGTAACCAACGCCAGAGCTCACCGATGATCAGAAGGAGTAAGAACCAGGTGTTGTTGAAGATGAGAATACCGACAAAAGCTAACACATCATTAAAAGGAGCACATCAAAGAACTGGGAGTCGTCAAATGAAATGTTATTCGTTCGTTGAATGCAAAGTGCAGAAAGTTAGAAAATTAATATAACATTATATTTTATAGAAGATTGGTGATAGGTGTATTTCAAACAAATATAACGTACACAATTTGCCAATGCTTTCTTGCTATTATCCGCAAAACTACAACTATCTATGCGATTCATATTTTTAATTGTAAAAGTGTTCATCAATGGGTTTTTTTCAATGTCATCTTCTCGAAGTCTCTGTATATTAACTATCTATGCAATTCATATCTCTAATAGTAATAGTATACACTAGTGTTTTCTTTCTCAAAGGCACTTGTTTTTGGTAAAAAATACCTTTTATAATTTACATAGAAGTGCTATCATTTATCAGCAAAAAAATCAGATTTTGGAAATTATACAAGAAAAAGACAAGATAGTACTGTGTAACAGCAATTCATCTTGCCATACAAAAACAGTGATAAGTGTCAATTTGGTGACAGAACATCTTCTCACCGTATTACTGCATCTGGAAAATTTGAAATTATGACACTTTTCCTGTTTTATCAAAACCGTTTTTTTTAGAACAAAAAAATTGATAAAATATTTATGTAAATCAGATGTAATCGTCTCATATCTTCGG